AGAAAGTAGAGAGCCATTCCGAAAATATAATATAAATGATGATATATAATAATGGAAAACTTACCAATAATAAAATAACTAAATGCAAATAATAATATATGCTTAGTTTTTAATCAAATCACAGGATAAATATTAAAAATATAAATTTATTCATTCTTCTAAATAAATAGTTTTTTTATAATAATGACTTAAGGTTTGCAATTATCGAGGTGTAGGAGCTTAGAATAAAATGGCCTTTAATAGAATAAAAAGCACAAAATGTTAGAAATCATTTACAAAATGTAAGATGAGACATCTCTATTTTTATAGTTTCGTAACATGATTGATAAAAAGTTAAATGAGTGCATTATAATAACCAATCGGTAATAATTTTCATAAAAAAGTATTTTGGCTCTTTATATAAAATTCACCCATGCACACCTCTAATCATAAATATGCTAGAATGAACGATTAGATTTTATGGTATGTCTTACTTGGCGCGACTAAAAAAAAGTAGAGGTTTAAAATTTAAATATAACACAAATCAAATTTATTACAATTTAGAAATATAAAATGATACACTTATTAGCTTTAAAATAATGAAAATCAAAGAGAAAATAGAATTATTAGAAAAATAAATATATATAAATCTTCAAAATAATTTGATCGAATATTTTAATATATCCTGGCCCGGCCCATATATAGATTATCCAATCCTTATAAATTGTTCATTGTTTTATTACAGTAGTAACATTGTTTAATAATAGGCCTTTGTCGGATGCAATTTCTATTTGACTTGATAGGGAAACAGGGAGCAAACTGCCTTTACATTTCCAAGCATATAATTTTAAATCTATTTCCATAAGTTGTCTTAATTTTAAATGAGGTTCACCAATCCTTCAAGATACTTAGGGAATATATGTGTGGATTTTTATTCCCTTTGAATATTAACTCGAATCTTATAGATACCTGATCAAAAAAAATAACAAAGTGAAAAATATTAATTTATTGTTAGCCTAACCAATAATATCAATAATAGTTTTATTCAATTTAGACAAAATACTCTACAAAATAAAGCACTTTTCATTCAAAGTCAATGAATTTTTGTAAGCTAAATAATAGATGTTTTTTGGATATTTGTTTTTTGTAATACAATTAACGATTTTTATTATTTATCATCTTAGTTTTTATAGTTTATTATAATTTTATTTATTTTAATTTAGTAGAATTTTCAAGATATTATTTTTAAAAATAGAATAATAATTTTGTTTTAAAATAAATTTTTGAAAAGAATTGACTAGTAATTAAAGTTAAATTTTAAAATATTATTTTTAATTAAGAATGAATATGGTTAATATAGAATTTTTTTTTAAATTTTTTATAATCCAAGCTCGTATTACATAATGTATAAGTCAAGTTTTGAAATTTAAATTATATTCCATTTTTTTTTAAAAATTGTCAAAATAATGATTTTTATAATCCATTTCTAAATCATCAATTAATTGCTATAATTCTGCTCAGCTGAATGCTATTCAAAGATATTTGCAAATTAGGGTCATATAATTTATCGAAAACTGATCCGGTTTGGCTTAGTAACTTTGCTAATCTTTTATTATTCCTACCTTGTAATATTAATGATTTTTAAAAAGAATTATCTAATTTTTTACACTTCTGTTGTATATATATATATTTTTACCTTCAACAGCAGCTTCTACTACAAAATATATAGAAAAAATATATATAATTATATTAAAAATTTAAAAAGGTAGATTAATAATTTGACAACAGTCTTTGAACAATTTTTCTTTTAAAGGAAATATATAGCAGGAGTGTTATAGAGTGCATGTTTGGTTCAATTTAATCATCTAAATAAATAATAATTTTAATTATTTGTTACTAGATAGAGATCTAAATTAGAACTACCTATTGTTTCTAACCATTTATAACTTAGAATATGGCTGGTAAAAGAGTTGTATTATTAACAATAAGTGGACTCTGCATAGGACTTAGATGTAAAAGGAGAGATGGGGATTTACTTTAAACCATTTTCCAATATATATTTTCCGACTTAATTCTGTATCAAAAGAAAATTCAATATCTTTTTATAAATTTCTAAGGAAATTTCTTCTTCAGAGATCGTAGGTTGTTATATGAGATAGAAATCGAGTGTTTATATATATATTAACTCTTAATAATATTTTAAAGGACATAATAATTGGTGAAGAAAAGCGTGTAAAATATTTGGGATGAAGAAAGAGTTTTAGATAAGATGTCTGATAAGGAAGTATTTTGATATATTTTTCATTTTATTAAATGGTTAGAAAAGATGTATAGAATTCAAATTCCAAAAATTAAATAAAAGAATACTATCAATGGATATTTTATTTGTTTGCCCTGACAATATAATATAGAACGTGAATCTCCTTGCTGGATACTTATTTTAGAAGGATGTTTGAATTATTATAGATGATTTACTAATTTTGTGTATTATGAAATATAAAACAAGGGGAATAGACCGAGAATCAGAAGTTCTCTTCATTGGTGTAAAAAAAATGTTTCATATTTTAGAGAAGGATCTAAAGAAATTGTACAAACAACATATATTTATTAATTCAATATTAAATAGAATAACAATCTTGACTAAAAATTTAAAACCGAAAATTTAAAATATTTGCGGCATAATATGGAATTAAAACTCGCTTTAAATAATTTATAACATTTTTAAAATAAATAAAAGTAAAAATACATTAATAAATCATTTTCCAATATTTTTAATTGAAGTAAGTAACGTTTCGTGTTTCCTTACTTCTAGATAACGGTGACTAATGGCTTTTTTGGCGTTACTTTAGAGCACTATAATTATACTATCTTTCTATAAATTTATTTAGTTGTATTTCTCTTTCACTCTTATGTTTTCTTACATTCTTAATTAGGAGATATATATAAGTAAAATATGTGTATTTAATCTTTCATAAAACAAATATTCTTACTAAGTGCACCTTCAGCAGCAACTTTTTAAAAATTTGAATTTATTAAAATTGGAATTATTTTTCAGAATTCGTCCCTCATTCCTAACTTTTTTGTTAAATTTTGAACTGTTATAAAATGTTTTTTCGGTTTATAACTTTATTCACACCCTCTTATTTATTTTTATATATTTTTCTTATTTTGGAATAATGACTAATCCAAAATCCTCCCGGGGTTAATTATGAGATTAATTAAAATTTTTCAATTAAAATTTACCGGAAATAAATTGTTTTATTTAATAAAATATGCCTAATTTCTGGGGTAAAATTATAAAATAATTTTAATTTCTTTTAAAATAATTTTAATTTATATTAAATAGTTTTTGTTAAATAAATTACCATAAATGATACTACTGATTGTCTATAATTTAAATGTATATATTGCAGATATAAGATTTTTTATATAAAATGAAAATTAGTCCTCAGTTAATGTTTTTAAAATTGAGAAATTCAGAATAATTAAGAGAGGATTCTGTATTAGTTCTTTTATCAACTTGCCACCATATATATATATATATATATAGGTAATTTTTAGTGAAATTAATATTCCTTCCTGGAACAGCATCATCTGCCACTTGGTGACAATTTAAATAAAATAAACCATTATTAATAACAGATAATTAAAATCACTAAAAATTTATAGGAGAAATTTAGCACCGACTATGTTTTTAGGCCTGATATATAAATAAAATAGGTACTATATAAAAATAATCCAAGTAAGACACGAAAAAATATATAAGTTTCAAACACTAAAGTAGTACAGATTGTGTAAAATAATTATAAATTATATAAATTGTCTTATTAAAAAATATCATCAACCTTCACCATTTTTTACTCTATTTTTAATATTTCTTGTAAAAAATTTATAAAATAAAGCTAATTTTTTTTTAAAGTAAACAAATTTATAAAAACTCAGGGGTAGATATAAAAAAAATTGTTGCCCATAAGAGATCTCTGGGATTCATACTCTCTCTGATCCATTTAAAATTATCGATGTATATTGCTAAAAATAGGTTTTTGCTTAATAAAAAAATTATTTATAAATGTTACATGCTCAAAAAAATATGAAATATGGATATAGATTAGCTTAAAAATTTGCAATGTGTGTTTGTTAAATAATGTAATAAATTATTTATAATAATTTTTAATATTACCTTCCTCTCCTAAACCTAAACCTAAAATGAAAATTTTAAATTAAATTAGATAATCTGCATTCTCCTTTAATAAATTTAATTTATTATAAAAATTTAACAAACAAATATTGAAACATTCGATAAAGTAATATTCATTTTTATTCTGAAATTTTACCAAAATCTGAAATGCATAGTAAGGATCTTCTTGAATATAAAGATGTAACCCTTAAACATAAGGCTAAAGTCTAAAAATGCTAACGTCCTTTTTTGTAAAAGTCTAATATTCTTATTGTAAATATTTCAAACTATCTTTTTTTTATCTCAACATATTTTTTTCCATAATATATGGATGTATTCAAATTCCAAAATTATGTTTTTTCAGAAAAATATATATATCACGAAAATATATTAAACCTCTTAACTCGATTTCGTAAATTTCATGGTAAATTAATAATATAAATTGAATTTTTATTTTGGAAGCACCCAATATCTCCCTCACATTTTACCATTTATATTTATTATTCAATATATCTCTCATAATGGCATAAATTTCACTAGGAGCAATATATATTTAATTTTGACTCATGCAACCTACGATCTATTATTTTGTGAAAGGTGAAAATAATGTTATTAATATCTAAAGATAAGCTTAGAATATATAATCCAATCAATTATGCATATAATATTCTGAGAAGAGATTTTTTTTCATTGTATATTTACCAATCAAAATTTTTAAAATTGGTTCTTCAAAATACTGATTTTTATTATCCATCTTCAATCATTTTCTAAATTAACAACAATTACTTCTTCTAATCTACTCTGTTGAATGCCAATCAACGTTATTTTTAAATCCGGGTTATATATTTTATGAAATCTATCTCAGGTGCTTGGCGTAATAACTGTTAATTGACTAATATTATTCTATCCATTCTTAAAAGATAAATTCAATTTAGAGATGATGTTATCAAATAAAAAGTTTTAAAACTTTAACCTCACATATTTTTATATATCTAATTTATCATTATATGCTGTTTTTGAAGCAGATAAAGTTTAGATTTATAAATATTTTATATTAATTACTTCAGGGTAATTGTAGAGATTATTTTTTTCATGTTTTAGAATATAGGTGTCAATAAATATCTTTTTGAGTTATGCTCAATTTCAATTTGTGATTTAAAATTTTATCTTGTAATATATTAATGATTGTAAAAAAGAATTATCTTTTACTCTTCTGTCATATATATATTATTACCCGCAACAACTTCATCTTCCACTAAAATAAAAAAGGAGAAAATTAATATAAATAATTAAAATGTATAAAAAGTAGATTAATAATTTGCCAACATTAAAAAGTTTTTCTTTTAAAGGCAATAATTTAGCTTGGTTCTGGATAAGTCATAATATGAGTGTTATAAAGATTGGATTGACACAGTTCAATTTAATAGTCAATCAATAGTAATTATATATAATTAAAGATCTAATATATAAATAACTATTGTTTCTAATCATTCAAGCCTAGGAGCCATGTGATGGTAAAGAGTTGTAATTAAACATTATGTAGATTGTGGGTTATAGTGCTGTTAAAAATCTAGATTCAAGTCTATTTTACCAAAATAATATTGTGCAATCCTGATGATTTTGATCATGGATGGCAGAGGGTGGCTTCTAAATTTTTGGGCAAAATCTTAATCGGGCTTTTTAACAACACTAGTGTGTTAGATCTAAACTACAGGAATTTGATGAAAAGCAACATGGATCCATAGAAGAAACAAATTTTTAGATTAGGATGGATTTGAGTGTTTATTAGATATATTCCAGATTTTAACAATATTTTATATATCATATGTCCGAGAGAATAAATATTCCACTTACCTTAAATTTTAATGAGTTGCAAATAAAAATAAACATTAATATTTGACCAAAAATTATGCTTCAATATGAATTAATTTATTAAATTATTTCTTACAGATTTATTTTCTAATTGCTTTTCATCAAAATTTTTTTCACTATTTTTTGTTGGAAGATTATTCTAATCTTTATTTTATTTTTCCATGCATTTTTAAGGTAATCACATCTTAATATTTTGATTATTATCAATAATTCATTTATATTATCTGGATCAGATAAATCACTAGAGTTTATATTCAATTTAATCCAGTTCACTTGTAATAGAATATGGTTGTTTTACCATTTAATAAATACATTTAAAATATCTATTATTTTTCCTTTCTTTCTTTCTTTATTTCTTTCTTTTTCTTTTTTGCAATTTTTTCTGATTAGATATATCAATTATAATTTATCATAAAGTAAAATATTCTCACATGGTTCATCAAATACTTGTAATTAAATTAAATTTTTATCAAAAAATTTGGGTTAATTAATTTTTTTAATGTTAATCACTATAATTTACATAATTATTATATATATACTTTCATGTACTAAATTTAAAAGGCATTCAAAAATAATAAAAGATTTAATTTGATGTAATGTTAGATTTGTTTTTTGGTAAAAAATTATATATCAATACAAAATGCTGTTTTATAATTTTTTTTTACTCTTAAGTTTTGAATTCCACCCATTCCTGCTTACCACTTAAAAAATTTTGACCCGACCCGCCCACTCACAAAAGCAATATTTTAATTAAGCCTGAAAATTCATGGTGTTTTTAAATTTTTCAAAACATACTGCAATAATTTTAAATTTTTTTGTTTTTTCAATTTATTTCTCTAACTTCATATTCCTTTTAATAACAAAGGATAAATACAGTTTATAAATCGAAATTTTTATTTAGAATAAGAATGAAATTTTTTTATTTGAAATGTTTACGACTAGATTTGCTACCGAAAATAACTCACTAAAAGCCGAACAGGGCTGACAAAATTGTACTTTTTAAAGAAGAAAATGAATATTCTTGCTTACAAAACTTCAAAATATTGTCTTTTTATTTGTTTTATGAGCGATTAAACTTTTAAGTTCATCCTTTCAGCTTTCGATGTTAATGCTTCTTTAGAATCATCTAGAAACTCTGTAAATTTTTTATTTAGAATAGCTCTTTTATGAGTTTAATATAAATTAGGAAAATTATAAATGATAGTTGCCATTGATTTATGCATATCAACTTATTTTATATCATTTAGCATTTTTTAAGGTTGTTTTATATATATATCATCCTTTTCTTCTTCGATTAAAAACTTAAGACTTTTGAAATTCGGATCTAGAATTAAGCCCACTTATGTAGTGGCCGCATAATAAATCTTTATTTTAAAAGAAATCTTGATCTGTTTTATAAATTATTGATTATTATTGTGTCAAGTTCCAAGATTAACAAAAATCATATAAGCTTCATTTATTGTGGTATGTATCTAAGCATTGTTTAAATATTGAAAATTTATTTAATCGCGTATGATGTTAATAATGTGTATATAAAATTTGGCAAATAAAAGCGTGTAAAATATATGGGATTAAGAAAGAGTTTTAGATAAAAATATTTGATGAGCAAGTATTTATATATATTTTTGATTAGAAAAGATGAACAGAATTCACATTTCCAAAAAATTAAATTTAAGAATATTGTGTAGATTATATTTTCAATTGTTTTCCCTGACAATAAAATTTATGACCTAGTAGATCTCCTTGCTGGATATATTTCTTAGAATGAATTTTTGAATTATTATATTTAAAATGATTGATGTTGTTTAATCTTGTCTATTATTAAGAATAACCCAAGGGAAGTAGACTGAGTAATCAAACCTCAATTATATTAAATTCAATCTATTTAGGTTTTTCCATATAAGGAAAGCGTTATTTTATGTCAGAACAAAATATTTTAGATATTAATAACCAGAATACTGACCCTAATTTTGCTTAAAGTTTTCGAGCAAGCCAGCTATCTCACTTATAATATATATATTTTTATAAAACATATGATTGAGTAATATTTATGTGATATAAATATTGACATAGAGGTATGGATTGTTTAATTAAATCGTGTTAGTTTATCCTTGATTAGTGGAGGATTATCATAGGATGGAAGAATAATGGATGTATTATGTTGATTATGTTTAAATAGGCTCTAATGATAATTTTATCAGTATATAATCTCTTTTGAACATGTAAGTTTTATTGTGTTGATCTAAAGCGAGTCAGGCTTGTAAATATTTTTAAAAAACATTTGATTGAGTAATATTTATGTGATATAAATTGAATAGAGGTATATGATTGTTTAATCACATCGTGTTAGTATAACCTTGGTTAGTGGCTTAGGATGGGGGTGTCTTATGTTGGGATATTTAAAATAGGCTCTAATGATAATTTATTAGAAAATAATCTCTTTTGAATATGCAAGTTTGAATGAGAATGTTGCAAATTTTTTTTAGTATCTATTTATTTATCTGTCAAGGAGTATCATTTGGTTTGTCAATTCAAGATGCATCCAAGAGATGTTAATTATCATTGTATGACAACAAGGTGGAATCAAACTAACCCGTGAATTCGAGGATAGCATTAAAGCCACCACTTTGCAGGAAATGAATGGGAGTCGTCCACTTAATATCGCGCAAAAGATGGCTCAGCATAATAGTCCAGACATGATGTATAATGTGAAGCCAATGACGAATCCCGCTAAGGAAAGAACGGCTAAATGTGTACTGGATCCTGTGTTGTTTACCACTGAGACCTTATGAGAAAACTTCAGGTTTTTTTATAGCAATTTTTTATATATTTAGTATCAAGTTAATTTATAATATTTTTATATACTTTTTGTTATATATTATGATTAATGATGTTTCTGGTGAATGCCCATAAAGGAGTGGCGTGTTACAATTTTATGTCATTTTTAAGATGTATGTAATGGCTCATTAAATATAATATCAATCACTTTACAAATCGATTATCTCAGATTTTTCTAAAATTATATATATATATTAGTTAATAAAGAGTTGACGAATCCAAAGCCATCAATGAGCAATTGGTCCGGAATAAAATAATATTATAATAAAAAATATTATTATTATTTTGTGAAACAGATATTTTCGATTATGTATATTAGCATATATTAATGAAATTTTGAAAAAAATATTTTGATTTATCGGAGAAAAATTGAAAAAAATTATAATTAACTATTGTTTCTTTGGAATTTAAGTGTCATAAAGAACTTGAGTAAGTAAATAAAATATAGGAGTAAGATATTCATCTATGCTCTTTTCTCATATCTATTCTTCGGAGTTTGGTTTATAGTTTATATTTTCTCTCTTTTCCATTTCAATGATATATTTAGTTTTTTATTGAACCCGTTTAATTTTGGATTAGATTTTTTGCTTTTTTGATTTAATTATATTATTTTTTTTAATAGGAAAATGAAAAATTAAACCCCCTCTTTTATATACTATAACATTCCTTTATGAATATTTTTAATATAAATAGATTATATTTTATTAAATTTTCATGGATAATTTCAAACAAATTGCTAGTTAATTTTAAATTAAAATTAGATACTATAAAAACTTTTGATGGTATAAATTTTTTTTCAATAAAGAGAAAGATATTTCCTAAAGGATTCTCATCCTAAAACAATGAAAGTTCCGATCATAAAAAGGGAAAAATTCAATCAAAAATGAAAAGGCGAGAATAAACAATAGGCGTAGCCAAAATTTTGCTTGGGTATTAGGAGGGTTTTCCCAAATAAATTATTGACGATTTAGGTATAGCAATTGTAGCCCTTAGGCTATATTTAAGTTTTATATAAATAATTTTTCACTTTTTTTTATAATAAAATATTTTTTTTCATAATGATATATTGTGTACATTTTTGAGGCAGGGGTGGAGTTTCATATAGGGGTAAGAATTTTAGTAGCTAAAAATTATATTTACTGGAACACACTGAAATTTGCCCTTAATACCTCCCCGTTCCTTCTATTGCTACATTAAACTCAAGGATGTTATTATTATTATTATGTTACTTGGCCCGACTAAAATAATGTGCAATTTAATGATTTTCATATAATAAAAAGATGACATAAACAAATAAATTAAGATACAATTTAAAAAATTCTTACTTTCTAAAATTATAACATTCGAAAATTAAATAATAGAATTAATAGAAAAATAAATATTTTTAAATCTTCGAAAATCATTTAATAAATAAATTCCCTTAAATGTAAAATTAAAAAAATTGTTATGATTATAATTTAAATATAAAATATTTATGATTGAGATGGCAGCGGTAAGAATAAATTGTGTAAAATTAATTTCGGATAATTATCAAATATGATTTTAAAAAAGAGTGATGAATAATTTGCAAAACTTCCAAATCAAAAATACTATTACCTTGTTCTAAGACTAAATAGCAAAGTAAAATATATTTTTGAAATATAAAATGGTAAATCCGAATGTAATAAGTAATTTATATACGGTTTTATATGTTATTAAATGTAAAAATAAGTGGGAATATTTAAAAAATTGAAATTTATAAAAATTTAATAAAATAACTTACAATTTCCAACTTTTAATGTAAAATTTAAAAAAAATATAATTCTAATTTATTTAAACAAATAAATTTTTTGGAATGGAATGAGGCATGAATAAACCGATGTTGTATAATCCATTTATATTTGCTTGATATAGTATCTATGCAACTTTGCTATAATTTTATTAGAGATGAGTCACCAAACTTAAAATAACTTTGAAAAGACTCGATAAATTTTTTGACATTACTAATAAGATTAAGAGGAGCTAATCTCCATCGACATATGGTAATGCAAGTTAAAAATAATAAAAAATATGTTTTGCGATAATTTTGATTTTTTTCTAATGATAATAGCCCCAAAATTTCTGGTACCCTTGCAGTGTTTTATTTAATAAATATATTTTAAAATTACTATTCCCTTTTGCCTTTCTTTCTTTTTTTATTATTTCTCTTAATTTTGCTATTGATTATGATAATCATTTATAAAGTAAATTATTCTCACGTTCTTCCATATCTGCAAATACTTGTAAATCAATTAAAGTTTATATAGTTTTACTGAAAATTATAGCTAATTTATTTCTGAAAAACTAAAATTAACTATTATAATTTATATAATTATTATATATATACTTGGTTCTAAAATTTTAAAGGCATTCAAAAATAATTAATAATATGTAAAATGGTATTTGGTTTTGGTAAGAGCTAATATAAATAAATTATAAATCATTGCAAATGCTATCGTGTGTTATATAATTTTTAATACTTATGAGTTGTGATGAGCTCCAGAAATATTAAATCAAAAAAAATCTATTTTTTGTAAGCCACATGTTTTTATTCTAAACATATATCTTATAATATGTTTGATTTCTAAGAATTATAAACGTGTAAATTGTTTCGTGTGTCAGTGAATAAACATTTTTTTCTTTATTATTTATAAAATCAGAAGTTGATGAAATATTCGCAAAATGTTATTTTGAATCTTGGTAAAATTATATAGTTTGTAAGACTTAGGATAAATCAAATATATCTTTCTCTTTCATAAAAAATTATTATGGACTTATTAAAACTATTCTTTTTGTTTTAAAATTAAAACTTTTTATTTTATAATTTGAATTTTTATCAAGTTTAAAACTTTTCCCTTTTAGGATATTTTCTCTTATTTGATCTTATTTATTAATAAATGTTAAAGGTTATAATTATAACATTGTAACTGTTCACTTTAATCACTTATACAGAGTTTCTGTTAAGATTATAATCTAAAAAATAAGAATACATTCTAAATATAAATTTTGACTTGTAATTTTACTGGTATAAATTGATTTACAATAATGGATATCATCATTTATAAGTTATGTTTGGTTAAGATTGAATTTCTAAAATTAAATAAAAATTATTTTGATCAGAAAATGTCATAATCATAGTAGTAGGTGTTCTCTTTTGATTATTAATAAAAAACTTCATTGACAATAATAAATGAAATGCGCCTTTATTTTGAAAGTTATATTTGGTTATATTGATTGATTTGGATCGCATATAACATGATTGTTTAAGATTTACATAAAAATTTTATTTTAATAGATTTATATATTATTATAAATCCAATAAACAAAAGTGTTAAAAACAATTTTAATTTATTTAAAATTTTTAATAAAACTAAATAAATGTAACTTTAATTAAAATTATCCATTAATTTTATATATTTTATTATATCTAATTTTAAAAATTAATATAAATTAATAGCAGTTTGAAAGTTGGTCAATGATTGGAACTTTTTCTTCCTGAATTGAATCATATTTCTATTTTTAATTATTTTCCAATAACATTGATCCTTTACCTTTAAATTTTTATTATTGAAACGTATTATTGAAACGTATTAAATTATATATTTTTTATTACTATTTAAATTATATATATTTCTTTTTTTATTGAACCTTTCTTTTTCTATTAAATTTTTTAGTTTTTTGTATATTATATTTAATAATTTTTTTAATAGGAAAAATGAAAAAAAAAGTAAACCCCTTTTATCATAATATATACTAAACATTTCTAAATAAAATCCTTAGATACTTTTATAAATGTTTTCTTTATAAACGGTTTATTTTAATAAAATTTTATGGATTGAAACTTAAACAGACTACAATTTAATTTTTTATTAAAATACTATTAAAATTTTTAATAGAGTAAATTTGTTATGATAAAGTGGTTATTCAGGGTTTCTCATCCAACTGAAAAATTTCAGATTAAAAATAATAAAAGGAAGGTCCGATTAAAAAAAATATTGTTAAAAAAAAGGAAAACTGCCAATAAGAAAAGGGATAGGACAAATAAAAAATTCAGGTCATAGATAAACGAAAATTCCTATTTAAAAATAGAAAATCGTTATTTTTATATAAATTATAATTTTTTTTTCTTGTGAGACAAATAATCCTGAAATATCAATTTTTATAAATTTTGAATTTCTATCTTTCTTCTTTTTGTAAACTTATTGAGATCGCTTTACTTTTTAATAATTTTTAACTTCCCAATTTTTTTGATTTTTCTTCTAATTTCATTGTTCTCTTTTATAAATCTATTAAAAATAATTTAAATCTATTTTCATCTTTATTTTTCTATTATTTGACATTTTTTAACCATTTTCTTCCCTTTTTTCCCAAAACCAAATCTTAATACAATTGATAAAAAGAAAATTTGCGATAAATATATTTTGTCTTAATAGGGGTAATGAATAGTTTTATAGAGCATAGAATAACAGGAGAATGCTAAGAATAATTTCCAAATATGGAGCCCTATGATATAAAATTTATAAGTGTGGGAAATAATTAACGAAAAATTTAATTATTTGTTTCTAACTATCCATCTTAATTTTATGAATAAATTAAATGAAGGTACAAATAATATTAATAAAAAATATGATTGCATTTTTTGATAGGACATTTTAATTTTGGTAATTTATCATTTTTTGATCGTTTTATTTTCCCCCTTATTATAAATGAAAATTTTTTTATTAGAATGAGAAGCCTGGTAAATTTTGATTCGTTATTAAAGTATAAAGTTAATTTTATTAGATTTCCTGAATGAAATTTAATCAACAGGTTATCAAGTCATTGGTGGGTTGAATTATTTAAAACTATTTGTATATAACCTCTCCTCGATTAAAATATTTATATCATATGTATATTAAAATTATTTGCTAGTATATTATTTGTATTATTGAATCTAATATAATTTAACGTACGTTCAACAGCTTCTTCTATAAATATTTAATTTTAGTTTAGGTTAAAAAATAATTATTTAATCGTAATTCTTAAAATCTCATATAGGATACTATCCATATATTATTTTATATTGGAATATTGTTAAAACCATATTTCTTATTTTAAAAAATATATAGTATATGTTTGAGCAAATAATATGGAATTATTTTTTTAAATATCAGAAATGAGAAATTTGATTTTAACTTTTTTCCATAAATATAATATATTAATAATATAGATATCATAAAATGCTATTTGAATGGTAATTTAAAATATTTCTCATATCTGATTAAAATCAAAATTAATTCCAAAGTGGCTTAAATGACACAAGTTTATTACAAACAAAACTATTTTTTTTTAAATTATAAA